TTCGGAAAAAACGCCATTTCGCAAAATAGTAATTCTGTCAAAATTACTACTTTGCGAAACGAGTTCTGTTATGGTCAATAAAATGAGAGGTGACTAGGCTCTTAGAAACATTGATCATTTTATTGGTGGAAACATTTTGTTTCGGACGAAGAGGACATATTTGCTGAATAAAGGTGAAAAAACGCCATTTCGCAAAATAGTAATTCTGTCAAAATTACTACTTTGCGAAACGAGTTCTGTTATGGTCAATAAAATGAGAGGTGACCAGGCTCTTAGAAACATTGATCATTTTATTGGTGGAAACATTTTGTTTCGGACGAAGAGGACATATTTGCTGAATAAAGGTGAAAAAACGCCATTTCGCAAAATAGTAATTCTGTCAAAATTACTACTTTGCGAAACGAATTCTACTATGGTCAATAAAATGAGAGGTGACCAGGCTCTTAGAAATATTGATTATAATATTAGTGGAAACATTTTGTTTCGGACGAAGTGGACATATTTGCTAAATAAAGGCGAAAAAACGCCATTTCGCAAAACTTCGTTTCGTTTCGTTTCGTTTCGCAAAATAGTACAATTTCGTTTCGTTTCGTTTCGTTTGGGAATTTTTCTAACAATAAGGTTACACAAGCCGCGCGGCATGAGGACGTGAGAAATTTACCATTGAATAGGTTATTGTTTACGACTGAAATCAATTATGCAAATGTCGCTTGTGGCGAATGTTATGCTTTGACAAGTGTAAACACCGTTCGTTCTTATTGACGCAAAGAGATGGTTTCGTCCACCTAAAATAACCTTAGTTCTCTGTATCTTTGTTACTGGCAGATATTTAACGAGAAATGTGCGCAGGAATGTTTGATTTTGAACTTTAAAAAACAGGTTCTGAGTTAATGTCGGAAACGCAACCACAAAGTCGATATTCAGCTGAAAATTGAATGATGTTTGTTTTCTTTGCTCTCTGTCAAAGTAATGTGGTCGTTGATTTAAAATGATTATCATCTTTACTCGTTCAACCGTTCAAACATTTGCCACAGCCGTTCGGCCGTTCACCGTCAGCCGTTCAAAATTTTTCTACAGCCGTTCAGCCGTTCACTGTCAGCCGTTCAAAACGTTTCCTCAGCCGTTTACCGTGAGCCGTGAGCCGTTCAAAAATTTTCCACAGCCGTTCAGCTGTTCACTTTGAGCCGTTCAAAATTTTTGTTCGGCCGTTCAGCCATTCATGTTAGCCGTTTCAATCGGCTTGGCCATCCGTTTGTCATCCGTTCACTAGCCGTGCGTTTTGCCGTTCGAACGGATAGCCGTTAGTGTACGTTTTCGCGTGAGAGCTCACAATTATTAAAATCGTGAACTCAAGAAGGTTCGACGTTTAAAGGCTTCGAATCACAATGTGCCGTACTGCCGAAATATTTTTGCCATGATTAATATAATAAAATCACAGAAAGATCAAACCACGTTTTCCAGAGATGTGAAACACAAATCTGAGGTCGATTTGTTTTGTTTACATGGGCCTCAACCAAAGAATTACATACCACTGATGAAGAACTGGATTGTCATCTTTCAATCTTTACATGTGGTTATTCCTTCCAATTTCTTCGCGTGGTCTTTTTCGGCTATTCAGGAAAATGCAGACTTGAAATCGTTGATTTACGGAGGTATTTTTACTCCCTATCGCTTGAATTGAACTTCCTCTTTAGCAAAAAGGGTAAAATATTAACCCGTCCCAGGACTAAATCCCAGCTGCGCGGTCAATCAAGTTAATTCGAGGGATTGGAGCTTTCCCTTGTCGCCGGTCGCCATAGTTGCTCGTGGAATTCAAACTGAAGTAGTGATTCACCGTTGAGTGTGCCATTCCCTTCCGCGTTTCGAGACCTACGGACCATTGCAGGCACCCACCTACTGGTCTGTATTTCCTCGCTCTAACAAGCTCCCTAGCCTCCTAGGTCATTTTAAATAATTTCAGACAAGCGCCCCCCTTGAACGAGCGCCCTAGCCCTCGACCTCCCTCCTCCTTCACTTTCTTAAATAGCGGGGATGCAAAGAAAAAAAGTTTCTATTTCCACTGTATTTATAAAATTTTAAGCTTCAACTGCAGCGGAATCAGTACAAAGGTTAATATTTTCAAGCACCCCCTCCCC